ATTTTAACAGCTCACCGAATAATACTAAGTGCTTAGTAAAAAAGACCAGCTATTTGGGTATAAATCATAAAAGATAATTATTTATCAATAAATGGCATTGCTAAAAACTATGAAGGATAAATTACCTCTGTTAGCAATTCAGCGATAATTTAAGTTATCATTTTAATAGCCGCCAAACTTAAATAATTTTTAAATAAAATATCCATGACTATACTTTAATGTATATTTTTAATCCACTTGCTCTAACTGATAATCTAACGTTAAAGTAATTTTATTAATCAGCATAAGTAGGTTGTTTGACCAGAAGACTGTTTTCTCATTCAATTACCAATAAAGTCAAATTGTATATAATTTCCTGTAAATTATTTATCGTCAGGAGGAAATAGGGTTATGCTAGTATATGAGCATTAAAGTTAGAACTATATGGAGACGTCCAACTATTCTAAAAAATAATAATGTAATTTTCAGGCATCAGAGCAGTGTGCATCATCTAGAGAAATTGAAGGCAAAATTAGAAGTGTATCTCACCCTAAAAGATTAATAAAAGCGTGACGCACAATTCAGGTCAAAGTTTAAACTATTATACTTTTCTATTATTTTATTTGCTCTAATGATTTGCTTCCCTTATATGGTAGCTAAGTTGGTTATAGATAAGAAGGTAGGCTAAACAGAACAATGCCTTTTTTAAGTGCTTCCATGTCTTTACTAAATTACCTGTTAAATAAAAAATACTGGTATCTGTTCCTATTATATGCTGAATGATTAACTCATGTAGTTTGATCACTTATTTGGCCCACTATTAAATCAGGATTAAGCCTATGTAGTACTGTCCACAGCATAAGTTGCTTGTACGAAACTAAATACTTGTCATCTGAGAAAAATAATATTCCTAGAAGTAGACTAGATATATGTGATTGTGCTATTTTTAAAATTATATAAGTAAATCAAAAGTAAATCAAAAGTAAATCATAGTTGCAGCTAAGTGTAGACTATGTAAATATATATAATATCTGCCCAATCATTGACTAAGCCAATCCTATAATAAACTTTTTTGGAAATATCTTACGACTAATTAATATTAGAGTATTTACTTTTTTATTTTTCATATCCTATTAAACCTAGAAATATAGTTTTAAATGTTAATTGGACCTGAAATGTGTGTCGTAAGCCATATATAAGATACTATAACTATACTCTTGAGATTTTGTTCCAACATATATGCCATAGTATTTTATTCGCATTGCTCATCTTCTCAGTCTAAAATAAAGAAAGCTTAAAGTTTCAAAATATCTATAGCCAAAACTCGCCTTTCTCTCCTTGTTTGCCCTTCGATCCTGGATGCCCATCTTCTCCAGTTGGGCCAGAACCTTTCAAGCCATGAGGACCTCTTTCACCCTTTTCACCTGCCATGCCTGAATATTTAAGTAATTACTTAGGTTACAAATAATATCAATATTACTAATAAATAATAAAAAACTGTTGATTATATGCTTGCTATAATCTTTGCAGTTAATATTGATTAAAAAAATCATAGTTGAGAAATTTAACTGTTAAATAGGGTCAAACGTATAATGCATATTTGGTAGCCAGCG